ATTCTATTCTATTCTATTCTATTCTATTCTATTCTATTCTATTCTATATTCTATTCCTATTCTATTCCATTCTATTCCATTCCATTCTATTCTTATTCCTATTCTATTCCTACTCTATTCTATTCTATTCTATTCTATTCTGTATTCTATTCCTATTCTATTCTAATTTATTCTATTCCAATCGATTATTCTATTCTATTCCATTCCATTCCAATCATATTGTATTTCAATCAATTATTCTATTCTATTCTATTCTATTCTATTCTATTCTATTCTATTCTATTCTATTCTATTCTATTCTATTCTATTCCATTCCACTCTATTCTTATTCCTATTCTATTCCTAATCTATTCTAATTTATTCTATTCCAATCCATTATTCTATTCTATTCTATTCTGTATTCTATTCCTATTCTATTCTATTCTATTCTATTCCTATTCTATTCTAATTTATTCTATTCCAATCCATTATTCTATTCCATTCCATTTCATTCCAATCATATTGTATTTCAATCCATTATTCTGTTCTATTCTATTCTATTCTATTCTATTCTATTCTATTCTATTCTATTCTATTCCATTCCATTCCATTCCATTCCATTCCATTCCATTCCATTCCATTCCATTCTTATTCCTATTCTATTCTAATTTATTCTTTTTCAATCCATTATTCTATTCTATTCTATTCTATTCTATTCTATTCTATTCTATTCTATTCTATTCTATTCTATTCTATTCTGTTCTGTTCTGTTCTGTTCTATTCTGTTCTATTCTGTTCTATTCTATTCTACTCTAATTCAATACTTTATAATTCATTCTATTCTTCTATATTTTATTAGTCTTTCTCTTCTATTATTTTATATTCTATTCTAATTCTACATTTTATTATTCATTGTATTCCTCTTCCCGCTGCAATGTCCTACCAGTCAATGACTACTTCAGCTTCAACCGCAACAATACAAGAGCACACAACATGATACAAACTCAATATAAGCCACTCCAAACTTGATTGCAGAAAGTACGACTTCACCAACAGAGAGGTCAAGGCCTGGAACGCACTCCCTGACTCTGTAGTTACATCCTCAAACCCCGACTCCTTTAACCTAACACTATCCACGATTGACCTCACCCCATTCCTAAGAGGTCTGTAAGGGGCGTGCATAAGCGCACCGTCGTGCCTCCTTGTCCCTGTCCTATGGTCCTCATTTGTTCGTACCCAATTCCTGTATTCTTACTCGTGTTTATACTTATACCTATTATCTTGTAAGCAATTGACAAATCAAATGAATGAGATAAATGAATAAAATTCCCACTCTACGCTATTCTACTCTATTATCTGCAAGACATCACAATGGCTACTAATCAGGACGGGTTTAAATGAGAATTGGAATACTTCAAGGAGGTCTCTTGAAGTTCCTTAGAACCCTTCAAGGCATCCCTGGGTTGGTGTCAGCCGGATGGCGGCCGGTTTTCCTCCACCCCAGAGCTCGAGAGCACCCTTACCGAGCGGTATCAGCGTCGAAGGATGAGACCAGCGGGTTGAGGTGCCGGTAACGGTTGATAAAGGCATCTTTGTTGACCTCCCAAATCTCTCGGTAGCGGTCCCAGGTCTTCAGGTAGCCCTGGAGAAGGCCAGCGTTGGTCTGCATGCCGCCGCTGATCTGAGTCTGGATTTTCTTGATGTCTTCATCCCGCTCTGAGGAACAAGGAACAGCAGAGTCACCCAGGACTTCCCAAGACTCCTCGCCAATAAGTCCCACGCTGTAGAGGGGAGTGGGGCTCTACCGGTTCGCCCCGGTTGGAGGGAACCGGTAGCTAATTTTATAATTTTTAATGACTGGTTTAGCGAACTGGCAAATCCCAACTCTGGCTGGCCCCGCCCATCCCAGGAGGCCCCGCGCGGCCTGTTTTGGGTGCCAGGTAAGTTCAGGGCCCGCACGGAGGCTCGGGGAGGGCGAAAAACAGATCTCCCAGAGGCTCTGGAAGGCTGGAAACAGGGCTGGGGAGGGGGTTGGACTAGATGACTTCCAAGGTCACTTCCCACTCTGTTATTCGGGGCAACCTGATCTACTCAAATAGGGGCTCGAATGAAATCGGTAAAATATAAATTCAACCCAGAAGAGAGGTGATTCCTCAGGTCACCTAGCGCTTTGCCGAGGTGCGAACCAGCACCGAGAAATCGTCCCTGGAGTCCTACTAAGTTTGGTGGAGGAAGCAGAGGTGTTGACTCCATAGCTACTTGGTCACAGCCTTCTGGATTAGCTGAAGTTCCCAGTTATGGGGTACCCGACCGTTCCCTTTGGCGTGAGGAACAGAAGTGGGCTGCTACCGGTTCGCACTGGTTCAGGCGAACTGGTTGTTAATTTTATGGTCGGTTTGGTGAACTGGCAAATCCCACCCCTGGCTGGCCTCATCCACCCCACTCCTTGGATCATAGCTAAGTGATCGGGCAGAGTCCACGCACTCAGAGACATCGTCTGAGGTCCTGTGTCTGGACCCCAACTGACCTTGGTGGAACGGGGTGTTGTGGCTCGCCGGCAGCCGGTGCAGTCGGCAGTGGGATCGGACAGTGGGAAGAATGGGGAACAGTCAGGGAGACCGGAGAGGACTCGAATGAGGGTCCTGCGTCTGATACAGAGATGGGGCCAGGACCGTGTGGGACTGGGGTGCTGACTCCGGAGCCTGGTAGCAGCGAGGCAGAGGAACAAGGGGAGCCTGTTCCCAGGGCGCGTGTGCGCAGAACTGCTAGAAGGCGAGAGCAGCTGAGACAAAAGGGGCAACTTGGGAGTAAGGCTGGGAGGTGATTGCCCCTCCCATAAGGGATAAAGGACAGGCAAAGATGATGAAACCTTTGCAGGAAGCAAAGTTGTTCGATCAGTTCAGAGTCATCCTTGAAGGTTGGGGCTTTTTTTGTACTTTTGATTGGTTTCTTTTCTAGTTAATTGGATATTTCTGTTTTTGGCAGCACTTCACAGAACTGAAAGGTGTGTGCTTATCTCGGGGGACTTTTTGAGATTAATTCTGGCTGGGAATGAAAACAATTTCCCAGCCTTGCAATAAAATAAGTCTTGTTTTTTAAAATATGTGTTCACGTAATTACGGTTTAGGAAGCCTGGGTCAGAACGTGGGGACAGGTGACCCACCTCAAGAGGCTGCCTTACCCACAAGGACGGAAATGGGGTCACGGGCAAACTTGCGCCGGATGAGGATCTCCGGAAGGTGCCGGAAGACCGTGATGCTGGAGATCAGGTGGGAGCTGATGTCATTGACCATACTTGCCAGCTGGAGAAGCGAGGGGGAGAAGGCCACCTAGGGGAAGAGAAACCAGCCAAGGGTGTCAGGGTTCCAGGCGGTTGCCCGAATAAAAACCATGAGCCTCGAGCCAAGCTTCAAAAGAATTCAAAAGATTTATTAGGAGCAACATGCTGGCATTATCCCAGTGGAAGCCAACTCTGACTCCCGTGATTTATGGTCACCTGTGACCCTGTTTCCCCCCTCCCCCCACCAGGTGTTTCATCCATCAGATTCTCCAATGAAGGGGATTTTCTCGGGTAGAAGTTCCGGGAGCCTAAGCAACCATCTTTGTAAGATACTCATGGAATGTACTTCTGGTTGCTTGTGGCAACTTGAAAACAGGCGTAGGAATTCTTTACAAGTGGACACAGGGGGGTCAACAAGGAGACCTCTCGAGGTCTACCAAGAAACAAGGCCTGGGGCAGAAGAAAGAAAAATCAAGGTTAAATTTGGGGTCCCCGGACGCACAACTCTGCTAGAGATGAAAGGGCAAGCAGCTGAGGACAAGACCACGAGCTCAAGAGAAGGTGGACCCGTTTTTAAGTCCTCGGTGAAAGAACCTTCACAGGAGCTCGGCGTGTCCCGTTGTCCTTTGATTCTGCAACAAGCCGAGGTCTAACCTTCATCGGCCACGGAGGAGAACGGTTGCTCTTAGATGCGAGAAAGCCTCCGGGGCTCACCTGGGGAGCCTGCCCAGGTGAACTGTCCTGCAGAATGACCTTGACCCTGAAGAGCGGGTTGGGGCTGGTCTTGCCATCGCCGTTGATGGCCCTGGAGAGTTCCATCAGGGACCACTTGACGTTGAGCCGCAGGGCGTCCTCCATCATCCGGTTCATCCTGACCGTGTAGTTGAACCAATGCTGCTGGACCTGGTGGGAGAAGAGTTGGGGAAGAAGCGGGTGGGGATGGGGAAAAGCCCACTGGGAATCTGCAGAAGAAGGCCTCGACCGGCCCACTAAAGGTGAGCAGAAGAAAGATTCCCTCGGGATTCCAAAGAGGCCTTCAACATCCATGGCCAGGGCAGCCGCTGGGTATCTCCAGGTCAAGGGACAACGTAGCCCCTCCAACCACACGAGGCCTTCACTGAAGCTCCAGGGGGGGCACCACCCTAGGAAGCCATTCCAGTGGATCTCTGGCCATCAATTCCCAGGAGGAGGCAGACTCGGAAGAAGATGGAGAGACAGCATGAAAGAAACATCAAAGGAGGAGGAGGAGGAGGGGAGGAGGAGGAAGAAGCAGAAGCAGAACAACCAGCAGCCGAAGCAGAAGGAGGAAAAAGAAGAGCAGGAAGGAAAAAAGAAGAGGTGCAAGAAAGGAGGAAGAAGGAAGAATAAAAAGAGGAAAAGGAAGAAGAGGAGGAGGAAGAAGTAAAAGAAGAGGAATAAGAGGAGGAGGAGGAAGAAAAGGAAGAAGTAGAACAAGAAAAAATAATAACAATAACAAAACAACAACAACAACAATAATTTCTGAAGGCATCACACAGGGGTTCAGCCCAGTGTCCTTCAGGCAGCTGCTCATGAAGATTTATTTCCCTCGCCAAAAGATACTCGCTGGTCCTCCTCACCTCCGACCCATCATTCTTGAAGACTTCGTACGTCTGCCGCATGATGGCAATGCTGCCCTCGTGGAAGGTGACCAGCTTCTTCTGGACTAGGTCCCGGTGGTCTTTCTGGTCCTCTTCAAACTCCAGGTCGTTGTAGATCCGCTTCCCAGTGATCCGGACCAGCAGAGCCTCACTCATCTGCTGGGCGTGGCGTGCAATGGCCAAGGTGGCCGCTTTGTATTCGTTGACAATGTTCTGGACCTGTGGGAAAAGGGAGGGACAATCAGGAGAGGAGATGGAAGAAGAAGACCCACGGAGGCTGGGAAGAGGTGGCTCCTAGTTGGGCCTGGAGGGCCACACTGAGAATGGCAAGAGGAGAAGGCAGGACTGGCCCAAGAGCATCTCCTCTGTCCTGGAGAACACGGTCGGAGGAGCAGGAGCTTTGGCCTCAAGAGGTGGTTGATGGTCACCAAAGAGGACAACCAAGGCAGAGGTGAGGCCTCCTTGAGGACCGGCAAGGAAAGGCGAATGCCATAATTTCCACAATAGGGGGACTGAGGGGGAGTAGAACCTCCTTCTGAGGAAAGAGGTCCTCCATCCTCCATCTTTGTCCGTATGTCCTCCATCTTTCACTGTGCCCCCGTATGGAGTGGACAAAGAAGCTGGGAGTGCGGCAGATCTGCTACCCAGGGAGTTTTGGCCCCGGGATTCGTGTCCCTCAAGGCACCCTGGTCCCTGAGGGCCAAGGAAGCCACATCCCCACCTTGCTGGCGTGGAGACGACACTCCGAGATGAAGACCGTGCTGGCCCCCTTGAGGGACCAGTGGAGTTTCTTGAGGCCAGGTTGGATCTTTCGGTCCAGGTAGCGGATGCGTTCCCGGAACAGACCCCTCTCCTCGGCAGACAACAGGCTGATGATCCTGGGAACCCAAAAATAGGGTGGAAGTTGTTAAGATCCAACTCTTTCTTCCCCCAGGATGGGAAAAGAGCCAAATTGTGACGCATTCCAGGCCTTGCCGTCAAAATACATTATGCAGCAGCTGGTCTTCCAGCCAGATGTTCCTCATTTCCACAAATCACTCCCACCTCTGGTTCTGGCAGAGACAGGCCTGCTGGAGATTGCTCAGCCTCTGAGAGCTTTGGGTTTCCTTAAGGACAACCGGGAAATTTTGCCTAACTTTGCCTAAATTTTGCCTAAACTTTGAAAGTTCCCCCAAGGATCCTTCATAACGGATCTTCGATGCAAGATTGCTTTGTTGAAGTGGACTTCAACTCTCAGAGTTCCCCAGCCAGCATGGTTGAAGTCCACCCACCTTAAGCATGGAATTCTGGGAGATAAAGTCCACCCATTTTAAGCATGGAATTCTGGGAGATGGAAGTCCACCCATTTTAAGGATGGAATTCTGGGAGATGAAGTCCACTTATCTTAAGCATGGAATTCTGGGAGATGAAGTCCACCCATTTTAAGCATGGAATTCTGGGAGATGAAGTCCACTTATCTTAAGCATGGAATTCTGGGAGATGAAGTCCACCCATTTTAAGCATGGAATTCTGGGAGATGGAAGTCCACTTATCTTAAGCATGGAATTCTGGGAGATGGAAGTCCACTCATAAGCGTGGAACTCTGGGAGTTGAAGTCCACCCATTTTAAGCATGGAATTCTGGGAGATGAAGTCCAC